TTTTATTATATCAACATTACATTATTATATTTTTATCATATTGGCAAATTAAATTCATAATCAGTTTAATATGCGTTATGTAAGATTGGTTTTTCGCCTGGGGTTGGTATGTATTTTCATCATCAACGTTAACTTTCAGAATATCATCCAATAAATTTTTATCTTTGAATATTTCAATATCTAATCCAAAAATTATAGCTTTCTAAGTGTCCAAATATTTTAATTAATGTTTATATTTGATTTCCCTGGTGAAGAAGATATGAAATTACTAACAAACATTTACTGCTGCCACCATGTTGGAAACATATGATGGCATGGAGGATTAAGCAAAAGATGTTATTAAATTAAAATGAAATATTACATTGTGTGGTTATATATCTAAAATTTCCACTTTATATAGTATTATTTTAGAATATAAATTTGAATATAAAATAAAAAGAAATAAATTAGTTAAAATCGCGATATATTTTATAAAAGATTATAAGTAGAAAGCGCGTTATATTTTATAAAAGGTCATAAGTAGGAATTGCGATATATTTAATTCGAATATTATAATTATTTTAAATTATTTTATATTTTTATAATTATAATTTATTTTTATTATAATAATTTATTTTAATAATATTTTAATTTATTTTATTTAACATCTTACCATATTATATTATTTGTATATTATGAATTAGTATATTCGTTAATTATATTTTTTCATGATTATAGTGTCTACTATAATGTGATATTCGCATAGGCGTAGCCAGGGGGGGGGATAAGGAAAATTCCCCACCCCTTCAGAAATTTATCACTTTTCTTGAATATCATTTTAAGCTAATAAAAAATACCCCCTTAGTCCTCCCTCCACTCCTGCCCCCTCCCCCCCCCCCAGAAACGTACGCATATATCTTAAACATTCTTTGAAAGAAAGAATGTAAAAGTTGATATTTTTTTATAAAACTATTCATCATAATTTATACATTTTTGGAAAAATGCATTTATATATAAAAAAAGTGAACCAAAAATGTTTTTTAAGAAATGGAATATAAGCCAAAGATAAGTCTTAAGACAAAAGTGAAATGTATTATAATGATTAATAAAAAATCCATAAAATTACTAAATAATAAAATATATCAAATATTGTTTTTTATAAAGTTAATTTTAATTTATTTTTCTTAATAAAAGTATATAATTATAAAACTATTGATAAAATTAAATCATAAATTAAAAACAAAATTAAAACACAATACAAACAGGTGTCGTAGATTTACAGTATATCTAATTTTATCAATTATCATATGACAATCAAAATTTTTTTTACTAATATAGCGAATTATATATTTTACAGAAAACTATAAAATATTGATAACGACATCAGAAAATATCTTTTAAAGACATTGTGGGATAAATAATATGAAGATTAATTATTAATATCATTTTACCTTTAAAATAAATAGATGGCGTTAAATAATTGAATCCAAATTTTTGCTATATTTATTATCAAGTGATTAGTAAAATTTGTTAAAATATTCACAGTAATATATTCTCTAAATGTCAAATATGTCTGTAAAAGAGGAATTTACTAGTATTTTGTAACCTATTCCATATAATAGAGGAATATATGATATATCTACTTAATTTTTATAAATAAATATCTTTTGTTTGGATTAAATGATTACCATGCTTTTATATTAATATATACAAGTAATTTATTATATTTTATATAAACTAATCAAAATATATTTCATATTTGTTCCAGGCTAAATTTTTTTTTATTAAAATATTTAACCCCCTCCCCCTTAAGAAAATCCTGGCTACGCCTATGGATATCCGGATCTATATATATTGTTATGGTTCCATAAATAAATGTTCTATGAATTATACCAAATATTATAGAACTGTTTACAGTATTTATAAATCTAAAGAAATTATTAAATGCCATGAAAATCAAATATATAAAAAAATTAACAAAAAAATAACTTCTTATTTTATTTCATAAATTAATAATATTTTTTATTTTGCATACAATCATTTTATAGTAAATGTATATGTGTAAAATTATTATTTTTGAGCTTATGTAATGCATACATAATTATATTCAAGATTTTAAGGGAATAGTAATTATAAAATATTAAATGAAAATGGTTATACATAATCCCAATTTTTGATAAGCTAAAATTAAAACAGATATTAAAATGTTTTAAAGTTAAAAGTCTTTGGCAACTCTCTTATTTAGGCCAAAATCTAAATCATAGATATGCTAAATATAACGTTTGACTGTATATCATTTTTTTAAAACTTTATTATATCACAATTATTCTATGTTACTATCCATCCCTGATTTGTGTTTGTATCTAATAAACTTATTTTTGATAAAGAATCAGTGTTGTTAAAATAGCGCGCTACAAGTAGCGCGCTACTTTTTTCAGTAGCGGTAGCTATAGCGCGCTACTTTTTAAAAAAAATAGCGATAGCGGTAGCTCGCTACTAATTTAGAAAGTAGCGAAAATTTTACATAATAAATATATCTAAAAATTATTAAAATATATTTTTTATAAAATCTAAAATTATAATCCTTTTATTTAATTTAATTTTTAAATTTATATTTATATTTAAAAATATAAATTATTGTTATATATTAGATATAAACAGTTGTTAAATAGCAATCTGTATTTAATTTATATTTCGCGCATTCATTAAATTATATATTTTTGAAATTCCGTTATTGGTATGTCCTTGCTTTTATCTTATTTTATATTTCATTTTACATTTTATATTAAGCATTAAAAATCTTGTTATGTGTGAGATTGTTGAAGATATTGAAATTTCTTTGGAAAATGAGCAAAATATAGATGATCCTTTCCCAAAATTCAAGAAATACTTTAACCTTGTAGAAAAAATTATAACTGGATATCGGTTTCGGTGCAAGATGTGCCGCAAAATAATCTCTTCAAATCATACGAGCAGCTTTAGTTTGAAAAAACATTTAAAGGTAATATATAAAACAAATTTAATATCAGTGTGTAGGCTAATCTTTATTTTTTAAAATAAATTAAAATCAAAAACCAATTATTTTTTTTATATATTCATAAATTTTATCTAAATTATTTAAAACATTTTAAAATAGTTATTTCAATCATTTTTATGTACTTATCTCCTACATAATTTTTATTCTAAGTATTTTATAATTTTAGACTGTGCACACTTCAAATTATTAAGAGATTGAAAAATATCTCAAAAGTTTTGGGGTAATGGAAGAAGATAAACCCACTTCCAAATCAAATTTAATACAAACAAAATTAACCAATTTGGATTCATCAACACCTGGTGTATCCCAAAAATTGGCTGACAAAGTCATTATAAACTTTATAATATATATAGTTCAACCATTATCCTTGGTGGATAATGATTGTTTTATAAAGATGACAAACACTTTTTCTCCACGGACCAAGATATTTTGCGGCAGACATTGATGGCAAAAATTTTGGAGAGCTTTAAGGAAATGAAAGAATCTTTGATATTAAATCTATCAGATGTCTCCTACGTCTGTACAATGGCAGATTGCTGGACTCACAATAAAAGGTAAAAATGTTTATTTTCTGATTTATAATATGTCATATTTTTAGAGCTCTGCACATTGAATTGATCCTAAAAATCTTAAACGAAAATCTGTAAGCTCTAAAGAGAATAATTGGCTGTCAGACTTATGACATTCTATTCAATATTATTGCAGAAATCCATAGGTCTTACAAAATTCAAAACAAGGTTTGTAAGATGATTACGGATAATGGGTCTAATTTCCTAAAGGCCTTCAGGTTTTAAATTTATTATAATTTTTTTATAATATGATATAAATAATATGGAATATTTGGGGAGGATAATAATAATAACAATACTAGTAATATTCCTGAAAAAAATATTGAAGATGGAGAACAAGAAGAGGATGATGAAATGGAGTTTGAGATAATTGATGTTCATGACATCCTTGGTTTTAAATTATTTTATATTTAATTTTTCACCAATATAAAATAAAATTTATAAAATTTAGGATCTTCAATAAAGTCTTCTACGTTACGTAGCCATCATCGTTCTTCCTGCCACAACCTACCTAAATTTAGTTGCGACAGTGGATGCTGAAGAAGCATTATTAAATGAGGATTTTAAAAGAGTATCAAGATCTACATTTTCTAAATGCCAAGCTCTTTGGAATAAACCATATAAGTCATCAAAGACGTCTGATATTTTCAAAAAAAAAAAATTAGGACGTTATTTATTGACACCAAACACTACAAGATGGAATAGTGTTTGCAATGCTATGAAACTTTTAGCATTGTTTCTAGATGAGAAAAAAATGGAAATGAATTATATATTGGATCAAATGGGAATACAGTATTTTAATGTGGAGTAGCATACCTTTATTAAAGAATATACTGAAGTATTTTTAATTAACCTCTAAATGCTTTTTTTAAATCTAAAAATACTAATTTAAATATTTTTGATAATTTTTTTCATATAAAAAGTTTGTTTATTAAATTTAATACTGCGTTGCCCTCAAGTGCTAGTGCTGAACGATTATTTAGTATGGCAAAGCTTATACTTTCTAATCGTCGCTCTAGACTTGGGGATGACAGTACCGAAATGTTATTATTATTAAAGTGCAATAATAAATAAATTATATATATATGTAAATGTAACAAATTATAGTCATGTTTTTATATCAATATTTTATTTGTGGAAATAAAGTTAAGTAAAAAAAAATGTTTAAAAAAAAAATCAAAGTAGCGTGGTAGCGATAGCGCGCTCGGTAGCGATAGCGCGCTCGGTAGCGATAGCGCGCTCGGTAGCGATAGCGCGCTCGGTAGCGATAGCGCGCTCGGTAGCGATAGCGCGCTACTTTTAAAAGTAGCGTTTAACAACACTGTAAAGAATAAGCTTCTGCATCTTGAACCTATTTTTAAAGTACCTGCCAAAACTTTGTACGTCATTTAGTGCCAATCAAAATTAATTCCTATGATTACCAAACATATGATATGATACGATACGATGATATGATATGATATGATATGATGATATGTCTCAGATTATAAAATGTTTGTTAGAAAAAGCTGGCATTTCTTATGAAGGTTTTTTGAATCCATCTTAATATCTAATATCATTATATAGTTGAATGTGGAACAGATTGGAATATTAACACATCTTATTATAATGATTTAATTTTATCCCCAGCATTGCAATGTGATAAATTAATTAATGTGTTGCTAGAATGCATATCAGATATCAATGATTTTTTTGAAAATAATTCCTGTGAAACAGGTTATTTTGTTTATATTTTGATATAACTTAAATAAGAGTGCATTCTTTTTATTTAGGTGATTTATATCACAATTGGATAATAACTAAAGTTGTACAGTTTAAATATTTTATCAAATTATAAACATGTTATCTCTTTTTATTTTAAGCCTTATATGAATAAATAAATATAGTATATATTATCTAAAACAAATTTTCTCAATTAATAATTTTAAAGATTTTTGGTATATTGAAGATTCAGATATTTTGAATAAAGGCTTGAACTTTTTAGCAATGATGATAAATAGAATTAGATTAAAAGTATAAATTGAAACTAAATAGTTAATTTTTAATTTTTTAGAAGCAACTAATTCAGAAAAATGATCTTAATCAAAATATTACTATTCAAGATTTAATTATTAATATTTTAGCTAGCACACTTTATATTAAGCTTGTTTTATTGAAAGGTAGCTTAGTATATAATATTTTCCAAATATCCCTGATCAACAAGATCATTGATAACATCTATTACATTTGTAAAAATGGTCATTTAGTACAAGGCAATGAAAATAGATTAGAAAATACCTTCATTTTGAAATACAAAGTAATTGTTCTTAATAATTTTTTATGTTGCAAACTTATCTTAATGTTGATCTATACTAAATATAATAAATATTATCTTTGTCATGTAAGGACAAAAGCAAAAGTCAGCGTACTACCCGATCTAGGAAATTTTCTTATGATTTTTTGGAAAAAATTGATGACAATCTATTCACAGATAAACGACTGCCATCGAAATCCCTAAATAACATCCAACATTTTTGGATAAGCTGTAATGATCCTGAAACTAAACACATATTACTCAATAGTTTATGCCAATTTTTATCCTCTTGGAATTTTTTCTACACCAAAAATGATAATAGTAATATATTTTCATATATCTATATTTTAATTTTTAATTATGTCTGTTATATGTTGTAATGATGAAATTTATAATAGACATAATATGTATGTTTTAATCATCTATCTAGATTAAAATTACTCTAATGTATCATTTGATTTATTTGGTATTATATGGGTTTTCATAAAATGAATATTATGAATTTATAAATATTAAATAATAAATACATTATTAATTAATCCTCAAATTTTTCACCTGTCCTATTCTGATATTCACACAAAACTAATATGATATACATTAGTGCAGTCTACAGCATACCATCTTTATCAATATGATAATTAAAATATTTTACCTATATGATATTGTTTGACTTTGTCTATCAAACCTATCCCTGCATTTCATAATTTTTTGAATATTAAAAACTTTTTTGTATCCTTTTAATGTTTCACAATTAATCAAGGCAAATGCCACAATTTATAATATCACATAGTTGCTCCTCCATTATTTATATTTTTTTTTTATCATTATTCAAGTTTATTGTTATGAATTTGATACTTGAGAGAGAACTCTGACCAGGCTTCAAAAAAATATTTGACTCATGGAAGATATTAAAAAAACTTCTATTTGTTCACTTGTATGCGAGTTATTTAGTTCTTACAAATGCCTTTAGGAGTAAATGCTCCCAACTTATTTTTTTTCTGAATAAACCTTATATTCCAGGACATAGAAATTCTGGTAAATAATACTATTTGCTTACATTTTATAGGGTAAATAAATAGTTTGCTGCACTACGACATTAATATGTAAATTGAAAAAAGGGTCTCTGCCATTAAAAACATTTTAAAAGCAACTGCATTATATTTTTGAAGAGGATAATATTCATATAAAAGGAATAAATAAAATTGATACTTTTTAAAGAGAAAAATAGTTTTTAGGCATTTGCCGTCACACTGCTTGAATAGCTTATTTATTAATAACTTGAAAATCACAACATTATCATTTTAATAGATCATTAAATAAATCCTTATCTTTAGCTGGAAATATTTAGAGAAGAATAAGTACCCTTCCCTATAAAATTTATTATCTGGCATAAACATTTAAATAAATAGTAGATAATGACATTTGATGATGTGATTAAAGACAATGTAAAATAAATATTTATTTCAATATTTGATACATATATTTCATTAATAGAAGTTCAAAACCTCATTGATTCCACCGATTATTTTGAAAACGGTAATAAGATGAATATGACGACTTTTCGCGAGGAGTCTACACTCGAAATTCGCATCTTGCATCTTATGGCCATTAGGAAATTCGTTTACGGAAACGTGGAGACCTTGGTGTCCAAAACAAACGAGCAGGCTAAAATCTATGTTTCCAAGATTGACGATTTGATTTTCGAAGTAATCGAACATTCTTATTACATTTTTAAAAAAAAGTGAGTTAAGAAAGTTTTAAAGTAAGAAATCTTTCCTAGAAACAATTGTTTGATATGCATCTTCTCATCAAAAAAGAAAGTGCTTATTGTAGGCTAATTTAAAATCAAATTTGGTGGGGTTTAGCCTAGGCTATACCGCGTCATAATGAAATTTGCTTATAATAATTGAAGTTGTGATGTATATATAAGTTCTCTTTTTGTAAAATATAAACTACTACTGTGCATTTGTTATGTTTTCCACTCTTAACGCTTTAAAATTTATTTTTGGTTTCTACAGGAATGATTAGGTACTTTGATATTCAGTTTATATTTAATCATGATTTTGCCCAGTCGCGATCTCTTACCCTTTGGGAGAATAAAAGAGTCGTTGAACCTACTAGGTAGGCTATATTAAACCTTATTTATTTTTTTGTGGCAACACAGGTTTTTTATAACTACTGTCTAAATCCTCTCGTATTCACCACAAACGATGATTCAACAAGTCAAAATCACCTTATAGATTCTTTGGAACGTAGATTTCGCCATTTGTTCGACCTTTTGGAAGAAGATATGGTAAAAAATGATAAAAATACGTCGTGTCTATTCTTTACCAAACTTTACATCGAACGCATCCTTCTCTATTTAAGGTTGGACGCGCTCTTTATCATTTTTTTGAAAAATTATTATCTTTAAATAACATTCCTTACCATGATAAAGGGACATAGTTCAAAGAATAAAAAATTATATTTAAGAAGCTTGTTGATTACGGTTTCCCTAGGCCATGGGTAAATCACTAATTTGGGACTATTCATGTGCCTCAGCCTTCCCAACAAATATTAACAGAAACCTTACTTTAACAAGGGCCAAAAAAATTAATTAATATAAAAGCAACTTTATATGCTCCCCAATATCAACCTCCACCAAGGGAGACAAATAAAAATACAAACACTTAAACCCAGGGGATTCTTATTAACAAATATATTCAAAAATTTTTGTTAATTATTGTATTATGCAATTCATTATAAATATCATTTTAGTCACCTGAAAGAAATAATCCCGTCTTACTCCGAACCTGGCGCGTCCGTTTTGGATCGAATTTTCCAAAAACAACTTTATATTTTGAGCCAGAATTTAACCTTGAATAGGCTCGAAAATTGTAATAATTGCGTTTCCCAATTGTTCGCACAATCAATGTCAATCAAAGCAAAAATCAAATATGTAATTTGGATGGCTAGGTAATCCACTATTTAATATTTTATTATATTTAGCAATTGATAAAATTTCGAAATTTAGGGTTCAAGGGGTATCAAAAAAATTAAATATTTCTTAAAATAATAAATTTCAGGTAAAAAAAAATTCTTTAAACAAGGCGCTAATATTTTCTATTTGTAGAATAATTTTTTTTTACAATAAAAAAACTAAATTTTTCTATATTTAAATAAATTCTGGTCTGGCCGACAAATAATTTTTATTTTGGGCCGAGCTTTTCGGGGAAAATAAAAACAATTTGTTTGGGATCTGGCCGAACAGGACAAATTGATTTAAAAAAAATTTGGAACTAATGTATATAATATGAATACGTTGCTTATCTTCTTTTTATATCCATTTTTAAAAATAAAATATTGAAACATAAGACATCCAATCCAGAGTAAAATAAAATCCAATTTTTCTAGATATTCAATTTAATTTTAATTAAAATGCGAGAAATTAAATATTCATATGAAGTTTGTCAATAGTTAATTTCAGCGTAGATCGTGCCATTTCTTCCCCTAAATACATATATTGTCAGATTACGTTGAAATCTTAGAGAGTATAACATATTATGATTGTTCGATTAAAAAATTTGTGTTATTATCTTTAACCCAAACCATTTTTTATTATTTTATCTTTGTACCCGGACCCGAACCCTTTTTTGGCTAAGGGTTCGCATCCCAGCGAATTTAAGCCCTACAATTTCATTTTTTTTGCCCAAGCCCGGCCTAAAATTTTAATTTATAAAATATAAATTAAATGCCTTTTTATATCATTAATTTCTTTTTACAAATTCGGAAAAAAAATACAATAATTTACGTTAAGTAATTATATCGCGAATAAACACAAAATGACTACACATAATAATATAAATATGTATATAAATCAAAGAGACTGATATTTCATGCCTCCACTACTAATGTCCAATGCCCCACCCTTTGAGCCTGTACGCTTAGCATTATATATCTTTTTTCCTAATCAAAACTCATAGTTATCTTTCTTCAACAAATCTTCTAACTCCGTGTCTGTCATTATTAAATCCAACTAATTCTCCTTCGAGTTCATCCTGGATTCTCTAATCCTCGGACAATAGGGAAACTACATCGGATGGTGGACGACCCGTACAAGTTAGATGTCTGGGATTTATGTACAACCATTTAACCACGTGGGAAATGTGGATTCGCGCTACCGTAAATGCAAAGTTTAAGTAGCCTGATTAGTATAAGAATTTGGGGAATGTCGCAGGAGGATTTCAATTTAGTTGTGGTGTTACGGTTTAAAATATACTTAGCAAATAAATTTGAGAATAATATTTATTTTCCCAAATTGATATAATCGTGAAGCTAGATTAGCTAATTTGACGAGAAGGAACAAATGTTAAACATTATTTAGATCCCATATATATTTAATAATAAGAAAAATATATTGCAAACAAACGAAACCAAAAAAAAAGAAGAATTTGTTTTTATAATTGTCATGTTTTAAGAATTAATTGTTAGGAGAGATAATTAATTATCGAAATAAAACCAAAAAATATAGCTGTTAATCGAGCATGAATCAGGAATAAAAGTATTAGGACGATAAGTTTGGGACGATTTATAAAAACAATTTATCAAAATTTCTTTTTCCCGAAAAATAATTCAAATTGATAATTACTTTAATCCGCCAAGATCATTAAGTCCAGAATTAGAATATTACTTAAAGGTCTGATTCGATGGAATACAATAGAACCTGGTTTCTAGATGAATTTGTGATAGAGCTTTTGGTACACCAAAGACGACGGTATGAGGGGAGAAAGGGAGGTCCTACCCCGACTCAGGATGCAGCCTATGGGTGATCAACTTAGATGTTATTGCAAATAGATGTTCTCGCGGATTTGGATATAAAGAAGATAGTGACAAAATCCATGGAGGGGCATCGATTAGATTTGTAGCCCCTTCACGTTTGAGGCGGGTGGCTGAAGCGCGTGGAAATAGGGCGGCACTGGAAGGAAAGAGCTCAAAAGAAACATTGGCATTTTCAACGATTGTGGAAGAAATGCGAATATGGCCAGTTATAGATTTAGCGGAAATGAAGGGTGCATCAACCACGATCGAAGGCAATTTCCGTGGGAATCCCACACCCGTCGGTTTAGGATTGGAGGTGAGAATCGGAAATAGGAATGTGCCTCTAAGAGAATTGGTTGATTGATTGGATTTAATAATAACAGATGGATTTAATAATGACAGACGGAATTAGAGGATTTGTTGGAGGAAGATGAATGTTTTGATTAGGAAAAACGATGTTACATGTACATGGTAAAAGGGTGGGAAGTTTTGAACGTTAGTAGTGGGCGCATAATATATCCATGTCTTTGATTTATATTATTATGCTTAGTCATTTTGTGTTAATTGTATTTTTTCCTCAAATATTTGTAAACATTATCAATAAATATTTCTTATATTCTTAAAATGGAAAAGTATATTAACAAAAAAAAGGTAAAACATCATTTTTTAATTATAATTTATTTTATTAATAATATTTATTTCTACGTGCAAGATTGGACTTACGTTCTGATTAATTGAGGTAACCAAATAACCATTGGGTTGATTACTAAAATAGTAAGATTGAAAGTATATATTCCCATAAATATAAAAATCTGTATCCTGTATAAATTTTAATTATCATATTATTTTAAAACAAGGAAAAAACATATTTTTTTCTAGTATTTTTTTAAAATATTTTTTAAGCCCAGCCCGATTTTTTTTATAAAAAAATTTTATGCTTATCCTGAAATATTTTTTAAATTTTTATTCTAATGCAATTAATTTGGTATGAGTATTAATGAAGGAAAAAATATGGGAAAGAGATATCCTTCGCTATGCATGAAGTTTTTACCCTTTTATTTCATTTAATGCTTGTTAACAGGTTATCTAAGGCTGTTGATGCTGATTTAGTTTCCGCTAGCGCAGATATGGTGAATTGCTTTATAAGGAATGGATGCTTGCTTAATGCCAACTCGGAAAGTGGAAGTCTCTTGAACGAATCTAACCTAAATGATCCATTGGTCTATTGCTTAAAACCTGCTTATTTATTGAGGATTATAATGATGGGTTCTATGCATGAAAAGTCAGCGAGGTTTTTAGTTTAGAAATTTCTTGAGGAAAATTTCTCTTTATTGTCAGAAGCATAAATTGCATTTATGTAAATAAATAAGAAATTCTTATCTCCCATTCTTAAATAATTTTTTAGTTGGATTAGTAAATGTTGCACGCGCGAATTAATAATCACAACACCAATTTTTTAAATTTTTTTTCTTCATATATTTACGGGATAGCGTTAGGGGCAAATTTTTATCCTGTCTTTTGAAATACTTCGAACGTTACCTAAATCACGCCGCGTCATTGAAGGAACTTTTAGAGCCTTGCCTGGATAAATCGGAATCCAAATCGAAGGAAACCCTGAAAGAACCAATATTTTGTGCCAGTGAAGAGTATTTAGAAATTAACCAAAGTGTCCTGGACGATTGTATTCATACGAATGAACCTTTATCTATCACCGAGATGTTGATTCGTGAATGTACGAGCTATTATTTAATTCATCGCTTAAGATTATTATATTTTTGTACATCTTATCTTTTGGACCAAAAATGAGTTAAGAAATTATTATTATATTATCATATTTAATTTTTTTTTAAACATTCGGTAGAATAGAAATTAGAATAATTAGTTTATAGCAGTAGGGGGGGGGGGGTATGGTTCGACAAACGAAACTGCTTATATACGAATATAAATAATAATAAAACAGCTTATGGGAAAATCTAATTTTTTTAACCTTGAGTTTAAATAAATAATCTAGCTTTTCGGGATAAATATATTAATTTTCAATATAAACCGGGACAATTGAGACCTCCGAAAATCCTAATTTATAAATGCTCCCTATCGGGGCTTTTTTACTTTAGAAAATCTCATTAGAGGGGCCCTGCTCAAATGAGGATTTTAGAAAGATCTACACCTAGTCTGATTTTCATGTCCCTAATATTTTTTAAAAAATATTGGAACCGACTTAAACCTACCGGAAAAAAAAATTTTGAATTCGGCCTTTAGATAACAAGCAAATTAAAACTATCAACTAAAAAATCAGGTCGGGCTTAAATTTTTAAATATGAAATCTTTTTATTTTGTCATATAAATTGATATATCTTAAAATTCTTGCAAGAAACTAAGCGCTATAATATTTTTTATTTGTATAATTTTTTTTACAGTCAAAAAAAAATTAAATTTTTCTACATTTAATTAAATTCGGGCCGAGCAGACATTTATTTCTAGACAAATAAAAAAAATTAGATCGGGCTGGGCTTAGAAAATTAAACCCGATGCAGATCACTGATGTGTGTTATATAATATTCCTTTTTTTCATGATAGATACAAGTCAAAACCCTGTAACAAAGAACAATGCCGAGGAATCGGTCGTACCAACGGGGGACTCAGCTATGGACGAAATCTCGCCGCATATTAACGAACGTGAAAATTTCGAAAATGAACTTAGGTCCAAATTCGCATCTTTTTCTGGTAAGTAATAATCCTTTTTGTCGCAACCTTTTTTGTGTAAAAAACGCTAGATCATCATGTACAATAACGGTAATTATTTACGCGATTTTTTTCAAAACTGATTTTTCTAATCATTATTAAAACCTTGATTTGTTACATTGAAATTAAAACCTTCGTTTACTCATACTTACACACAGGATGCTAGAAGGTCAATTGACGACCACCACGTCTCTATATATTTTTGATTGATAAATAAAAAAAATCAGGATATTTTTTTAAAAAACGAATAAATTAGCTTGAGAATAGTTAACCGGGATGGGGCAAATCTAAGAACCGAACTCAAATCCTCTACATCTTTTTAAAATTTCCTTAAACCAGGACTGCCCCTTTAAAAAGAATATATAGGACCGGAACCCATTTTTAACTCAGGCTCCTTCTGCTGCAAAAATTATTCAACTCAATAACAAATAATTATGTAATTATACATTTTTTTTATACAGAATTGTGCACTCTCTCAAGTCTTATATCTTATCCCACCAACAAAGAAACAGAGAGTATCCTTACAAACGGAATAACTTTTCGACATATTTTAGCCTTGTTAAACATCCGCATGACGCAAGAACCAACCGCACACGTCAGAAGAATGGCCATTGAGATAACGGGAAAGTTGGTCTCATTTTCTATGTTAAACCTTTCGGATAAGACCTTTCGGGGCCAAATTTCACATTTGACGGAACACAATAACGATGTCAATCAAGATAATGCTCACGAAAGTATGACAAGCGACGATTATGACCGAACGAAAATTTACGTTCCAGAGATCCTAAAATTATTAGACTTTTACGTGAGTAGTTTTAACGATTGATAGAATTTAAATGCGCTAAATATTTTTTTATGAGAATAATAGGTGTTTTAAGCCCTTCATCGATTCCATTTTTTGGAGTTAGACCCAATTTTGAAAATAAATTTGAAGATTTTTGTCCCACCGATCTGATAATTTTTTTCTTCAAAGATTGCTCCTAATTTAATTTTATTGAACTACAGAAAAAACGAAATCGGAAGAATTTAAGCGCTAAAGGGATAATAAACGATTTTGTGATTATTCTTCATAATAGTATTCATAGAAATATAAGAAAAAAAAGAAGAGGATAGAATAGGATAGTATAAGTCCGATTCACGGATTAGGATAGTCTATGCAAGACTTTAATTAGAATTGACTAATAACAATTACATGTACCTCAGTAGGTCTCTAAATTATTGATTTATGCGAAAATAAAACGTTCTAATTATTAGTTTAAAAGAGATAAGATATTATATTTAATCGAATCAAAATTACTTATTATACTATATATATGTGTTATCTTGTAATATGAACCATTTTTTTTACCAAATTTTTTCTCTTTTTTTACAGCAAATCATACCCGTTTTACTAGAGGCCTCCTTGCACGACAAGACTATGATGGTACGTAAGCAAGCCATATGTAGTTTAACTGCTATAATCACACAGATAATGCCACATATAGATTCTGAGAGTAGTAGCAATATGGCGCCTCTACTTTTGGATTGGATCAAAACTTTGTTGATATGTTTTTTCGACCAAAATTTGTCTTCCAAAGGCTCGGGCCTAAACGAAAAGTGTCTGGATATCGCGGAAAGACACATATTAGGCCCCATATTGTATTAATATTTGTATACTACTTATATGTTTTAAATCATCAAGTTATATGATTGGGAAGAATGTTGATTAAGAGAGATTAATTTATGTGACGAAAAGAATTAAATGAAAAAATTCAAATCTAAGTGATAAATAAGAAATTTTTTTCCCTTCTTTTGATACTTTATTTTTGGGAAATCGGGAATATTCTTATGCATAGTAAATAAGAAGCGTTTAAATATTGTTTATCAAAAAATATTTTAAGCTTTGATAGAGGTGAGAAAGAAGTCAATGATCTAGCATGGAAAATTATCGATTCATTGATCAATAACATCATTTGCTTTATTCCTTTCACATTTGCCAAAACTCACGATTCATATGACTCCGATAAAGCCAACGTTATAAACAAAATAGACGTGTGTCACAAAAATGCTTTGTATTTTACCGTTCCTTCAAACTCCCCTTGGAGGAATATGTTCCAATCCCTCTTCGCCGCATTTACACTCAAATTCAAGGATGCAAAGTTTTTTCTTTAAAAGCTGAACTTTTACCGTTTGCTAACTACATTTATTCATCAATATTTAAATTGCTATTACTTTATTTTTTTTCAAAAAAAACTAAATTAAAGCTCGATTAATACTCGATTGCTAAAGAAATCACATCTCACGGCAAATTTATCCTATTACAAGGTTTTTTATTCTTCAAATTTACCTTTTTTTCATATTCGCGATTTTTCAAAATATTATAGCGCTTGTTTTGCCAAGTAAATATTATATCATGATGTACGTCTCGATTTGTCTGATTATAAAATTGAGATTTTATCCAAAATAATATTACATAAGTTTCGAGATTTCGTTAATGGATTTTCAAAGACTTGTATTATTTCCACAGAATAAAATTGAAACCCTCAGAATTTTTTCTTCTTAATTGCTCAGAATTTAAAAAATGCTAAACGCTAAGAATTTATACTGAATTCACAGATATTTTTCTTGAAATCAAAGACGATTTTGTAAAAATAAAAATTTTGATTTTCTCAAAATTTTCTTTATTGAATTTCCCAGAAAAATATTAAATCGTTCCGAAATTTTTTATGTAAAATTTGGATAAATTAAAAGTTAATCAGAGGAATTATCTAGTTTTATTAATTTGTGCACATGTTGAGTTTTATTAATCTGTGCTTTGGTGGGAGGGGGTGGGGAGTTGATATTGATTACATTGATGGTCAACACTCAATGGCAGCAGGGTATCTGTTCGGGGAGGATGGGGGAGGGGTAATTTAAATATAAAATGTTAACATGGGTACCAAATGAAAACTACAATGATCATTTGATTGCAGATGCTTATCTTTTCAGTCGGTATAGTAGGGTTTGAGGGTTAAATTTTTTAGCGTGATATATTATATCGAAATAGGCATCAAATTAAAAGCTAATAAGGAGATGGAGAAAGTTTCTAGCATCATATTTCTAAAAGAATCATTTAATTATAAGGATAATTAGAAGTAGGTTTGCTTCGAGCTTATAGCAAGTAGTAAAAACTCCACCAAAAACGATAAACCTCAATTTAGGGTGGGTTGAATAACCTAATAATTCTAGCACAATATTTTGATATTGATATTTTACAAAAGCTAATATAAGATTTACTGATAACATGATAATTTTTACTCACCACTATGCTTTTAGATGTATTCTAACATTTCAAACATTGGTATCATATGAAAATTTATTGGAAATGTTAAATATCACTAAAGTTTTAGGGTGAAGTTTATAATATATTTATATGGTTCTCAAATTAAAGTGAATAAAATTTTTGGACTCACATAAAAAATAGAATAGGACGAGCAAAGAGGATATATTTTAACGAATGTCAAGATAAACGTCCCAAGATTCGATTGACCTTTATAGGGTCGAAGTATTTTGTCTATTAATTGATCAAATTATAAACAGATTGTCTGAACGTTTTCCTACAAATAGATTATTGTGAATGTGTAATATATGCATCCAGTGCATTTTGATGAAATAAACTATGAAGATATTTTTGAAAAGGCCTCTGAAAAACTGGCGCAATTGGCATAGGTATCAAGTGTTAAATTACATAACGAAATGTGTTCATTTGCCAGTGTATTCAAAGATTTGATAATTGAATATAATGAAACTAATGATATTATTTGTACAAATGAGGAGTCAAATGAAGATGACGAATAATACAATGTGATAATAATATTATAAAAAAATAGGCTGAGAGCTAGTATAGATCAAGATAAATTAGAGGCGTTTTATAATTCGGTTGAAAGAGAAATATAATCGCGGATTGAACTAGAAGATATTCATGTTTATTTGCGCTATTTTTTTAAAAATAAGCAATAATAAAAACCATGTATTTCAAATAAGCCATTAAAGGGAAAATGGGTGGAAGGGGGGGGGGGGTGAGGTCGAGTATAAAATAATGTTCACAAGGCCGTAGCTTCGCCACTCATCCCTGGTCTTTCACTAATGATGGTAGCTTACTTGATAAAATTGACATTGAATTTATTTATCTCATATATGAATGGCGCCATATCTAGTAAAATTGTGGGGGAAAAGCGGGAATTAATTTTTCATGGATTTAAGATATTTTAATTTTTTACTTTTTAGGAAAAGTTATAATTATTATATTCCTGCTAATTTACCCCATTTTTATTTAGCCTAAACCATTATTTAAATAATCTAAATAATTCACCTTTTAAAATAAGCTGTCGTAATCAGTTATTTTTATTTAGAAGAGCCGGCAAGGACTATAACATCGGGGGGGGGGGGGGGTATGACTTAATATTTTTAAAATTAGAGCAGAAATCCTTGAGAACAAGGCGGCCGATATTTTTTTAAAAATATATAATCTTATACAAATTCTTAAAATCAATAGTTGTTATGTCATGATTGATGCATTTTTTTATATTTTGTTCTATCTATATTTTTTATAATCTTCAATCACGCTCAATATGGTTTGATAACATCGGCGCATTTGTTTGACTTTAGATTGTAAGACTCAGGATGAATCGTATTATTTTTATTTCAGAGAATTATGTTATTTATTTATTGAATTTTAAAGATATAAAAAGGCTGCTTTTTAGGAAAAATATGTTTTTTTTATTTTAATTTAATAAAATTCGTGAAATTTGTAAAATGGATATTCTAGAAGGGCACAAGCAATAAATAGTACTAAGAAAAAAATTTCTGAGAAATTAAGCAACGCAATTAGCTCTGAGCACATTTTTAATCTGAGCAATTATAATTATTTATAGGCAATTGAGTTTTTTTATCTAACATTCAGTATTTTTTCTGGCATTAAGTATTTATTCTGAACGTTTAACGTTTGTTCTGAGCGATTTAATGGGAGTCATTTTCAAACTTTCTGCTATCTAGTGAGCAAAATCACCAGGCTTATGTAATATTTTTTTTGTCTAAAATTTTGAGTTTGCCGTTTTTGAAAACCGGGCCGTTTAACAACACTAATATTTCATTTATAATTTATTTTTTTTTAATATAAATAGCTACCCTTAAATCATAATTAAGAGGGATCCTAATTATAATTCATTTATATTTAGGAACGCTTGTTCTTGATGCACATTATATGTCGACTCCAGCCACACTCATACATTCAAATAATAAAGGACTCCTTAAAGACCTCCGGTAACCTCGATGATATTGTTCACTCGCTAAAACTAATCACGGACCAGTATATAGGCAAGGAATTAGTAACTCTCTTACGTTACCATAAAATAAAAACAAATCTCTCATCCCCTTTTCTCGAAAAGAAGGATGATCGAATTGGCGAAACACTTTCTGGGAACAACGAAAGTTATCTGATAGACGCGCTGGGTTTAATAAAATACTATCTCGTTTGCTTAACGACTTTCGTGATCTCGCTTAAAGATACGACGGACAAAACCAATTTGGTAATATGGATTTTCGGTCTTGTGACCACTGTATCCCAACAGCTTGGCCAGATGCTGGGTGGATACGGTTGGCAGAACGTTTCCTTGTGCACCGCTTTGATAGAGGTTATCAAATCTATCAATTCACTATTTCCAGGGATATTCGCTACGCTTTTTAAGAAGCGGGATGATAGACGTGAATCGAGTTAGATATAAAACTATATTTGTGTAGTGTAGTTTTGAATTCTTCTAAATATATTTTTTACGGTGATTTCTCTTTTTCCAGGAACCGGTTCTAACAAAAGCGCAACTAATATATTCATTTTTTTAGAGCTGACTACTAATTTATTGTTTAAATCTTTTGGAGTTTTTTTTTCCATAGCCTTGACAGATTTGTGATGTGACCAGAACATCTGGAACTCCCTGAACTGCATTAAATAAAACTTGAGCCCCTTTTTTAAAAAAATTTTTTTAGGAATCCATACACTGATTGATAAATATCTGGAAGTTGGACCCTATTTAGTCATGATTTCAATCTATTTGATGCCTAAATTAGTAGTTTCTAATACGCATCGCAAATGAGATAACTCTCCAAATGATAAGTTTAGTGAATAAATAAACACTTTTTTATATTTTTTCTTTTGTTAACATTTTGGATGGTTGGTCATTTTTTTTTAAAATTAATTTGATGGTCGAATACCATAAATCCGTGGATTGGCTCTTTCTAATTTAAAAAATATATATATTAGCGGGACACAAATTCATGACTGTCAATTTTCATTAAATCATTGGGTCCTGTGGGGACACTAATTTCAGATTGTCACCATAATTTAAGGATCCGATCCAAAAATAAATAAATAAAAAAGTTATGGGGGAAAAACGCCTTAAGAGAAGTGAGAAAAATTATAAGCGCTCAAAAAAAATGAATTACAAATTTTGGTTGTCTTTTTTTTCTTATAAGAAAATAAGATTTATAAAAGAGCATGCATTAGCAAAAGTAATTTAATTTCTTATCATAGTTCGAGTCTGGGTAAAAAAAAATTTAGAAATTAAATGATATAAATGGAATTTTTCTTTGGGAATATTAAAGCTAACTTTATGAAAATGCGCTTAATTTATATTTTCCAATTAAAAATTTCGAAAAAATAATTTAATATTCCGGGTTGTAGTTTGTCCCAGAGAAAACTTTTGTCCACAGCAGGAATGAAAAGAATTTCTTTTTTAAAAAATAAAAATTTGGTCCTACAGATCTATTAGACATATTTTATTTATTTATTTTCTGAAAATTTGAACCTTAAAATGTTTATCAAATTTCCCAAATTGTTTTTTTTTCTAGATTCTGAATTGTCGAATCAACATAGTATCTCTTATTACGACGAGTCAATTCAATTACCATATAGAACGATGTCCGAGCTGGTTATCGCTTGTAGGAAACGCTTAGAACAATTTTTGACGGGAAATGGCGAAGGGGGTGAAAAAATTTCCGAGGAAGATGGTCCCATATCTGGTTTAAAAAAATGATAATTTTTTTTATTATTGTTATTCTAAATTTTTTAAATTTGAATGAAAAATAAATAAATAAAGAGATTGAGAAGAGCTGTAAAAAAAATTTTTTAATTTTTTTTATTCTTTCAGAGGAACAAAGCGTGATTAAAAGCCTTGTGATGTTGGGTGAGATTATCATATTATACCCAGAATTTTTGGATAAAACTCTTTGCTATATCGTGTTAAGTTTGGTAATTTCTAACGACGACAAAAACAATGGCTCCATATTTGACAGAGGAATCGGATGTTAAAAGTATTTCGAAAAGCGCATTATTATTAATTCAATTTGAAATTTTTCGATTAATTTGTTTCACGAAAAAATATTAGCTTTTCTTAAATAAAAGTGTCAATCAAAAGATAATAATATAAAAGATCTAGAAAAACATTTAAAAAGGAATAGAAAGGATATCTGAAAAAAAGAAAGTGCCAATAGCCAATCATGTTAGAGGGAAGAAAAAAAGTTTTCTATATTTTTAAAGACTTAAAAATTTGTTTTAAAAAATTGTTAATGAATATAAACCGCTAGATGTGGTGAATTATTATTATTATTTGATTAAATCCTGTCAGAAATCTAGTTCATCGCCGACACATGGCTGCAGATAGAAATCCTAAAATCCTTATTTTCTCACAGAATATCGCATCCTAAGCTTATCCTAGATATTTTTACTACATTTTTAATGAACATGTAGATATAAAAACATTGTATATTGTAGACCCTGAAAACTATTCCTTCTTCCATATTAGACTGAAGGAAAAATTAGCTACCGGCACAGAGAAAATTACCTCAAATACAGGCAAATTAATATTTTTTATAAGCTTTTTTCAAACAATTATTTGCTTTATTTCATTACAGAAACTTCGAAATTATTATCAATATCATCACCTTTTGAAAATATGCCTTTCGAATCTCGTACGTCTAAGTAAAAATTATTTTATCCTTGCGCCTGCGCATGATATTATTTTTAATTTTTTCTTCTGCTTTTTTTAAATAAAGTGCTATTAGGGCTCACGCTTTTGTAGTGCTGGGAAAATTTTGCTTGAAGAACGAGGCCTTCGCTAAACAATGCTTGCCCGCTTTCATTTACGAATTAGCCGTTATGGGTGGTTTCGATCTTTCTAATAAAGATGATAACCATATGGAAGATCGAGAAGGAGTGGAAGCCATTAGAAATAACGTCATCTTGATTTTAATGGACTATATCAAAAAGTAATGTTAAGATTCTAGGGGTAAAAGTTAAAATGTTTTTACACCACAATATTAGGAAACATTTAAATATGAAGAGTTTAAGAATAATAATATTGACATTATATGAATTTTAAAACTTTTTTTTCGCATTAAGTTTCATAATCATATTAGAAACTAGGGTTTAGTTGAACTAGCTAGTTAAATCAATTAAATTATATTTAAAAATATGATAAATTATAATTTTATATATAAGTGGCTATCGTAATGAAGCCTTCTTTTTAATCAAGCCATAGCGATGCTATTCTTAGCAAATTAATTAAGCCGACCTCACCTTTGTTATTACATAATTTAATTTTTTATGCTCTTAAATATTTCTTTATAATCGTGATTTGTTTTTTTTATATGAACTTTGTTTTAAATTCGTTTATGATAGAAAAAATTAAATACAATAGAATTAGGAAAAAATTTATCATAAATTTTACATATTTTTTTAAAAAATTAAAATAATGTCATATATATGTCATTTTTATATGAGAATTTATATGCAGGTAAATTATATCAATAAAACATTGTCCATGAAAATAATATATATTAATTATTCTGTAGGAGACTTAATAAACCTATTATACCAACAAGCCCCGGATTTGGGTCTTGGGGCAAAAAATCACTTTTACTAGAATCAATCGAGAAATAGATATAAAATTTAAAAAAAATATATATTATATGATGATTTTGATAAAAGATGCTCTCCGACTACCTCTGATTTCCCTTATATCTTATAAACACTTTAATTTATTTTGTTTGGCTATCTCCTCAAAAAATCTTATTATTTTTTTGGATTTCATAAATAAAAAACAAGATACCCAAGTATGGCTGACCCTTACGTAACAAAAATAACCCACGCTATCCTTGAGAGGTGTAACGATACCGGTATATCGAATGACTCATGGGCCAGCCTTACTCGCTATCAAAGCTTATCTTCCCTCATGAACCTCATCCGAGAATCCCATATTTTGACCGGCAGGGACCAGATCCTCTTAAAATTCTTGCCTTTGCTAGTAGATAACGATCTCTTGGTCAAAAATTTGGCCATCACAAATTTAGTTCCTTTGATATCGATGATGGGGAGCAAGCAGAGCCGGAGAAATGATAATTTCTTTAACTCGCGCTTTTTAGATATCGTTTATTACCTGAACGGTTTAGGTGAGTGATTTAAAAAAATATCATGATAATTTTTCAACCTATTTGTTTGAGGTAGGAAAAGAAAAGGAAAATTACATCGGCTATTCAAGTTTTTTAATTTAGTAATGAAGGAAGGAATTTATTCTTAAAAATTTTCTACTTTAAAAAACAACAACAAATTTTTCACAACCCGTTCAATTTATTCATTAAAAAAATTTTTTTTAAATTAATTTAGTTTATAAAGGAGAGTATTTGTTGGAACCTTTTAAAAAATGGCATTTTTTATTAAATGAACGAATGCTTAATATGAATTTGAACCGATTCATATTTACAAAAATCTAATAACGATTTTAGTGATTTGCTTTTAAATGAAATGTGAGCGCTTTGCGTAGCTTTAAAAAAGACTATAGGCGTAGTATGAGCTAGTTCCCTGCCCGGCCCGGCCCGATTTTTTTTTTTAAAATTTGTCCGGCCCAATTCCGAACAATTTTTTTATTTGTCCCGAAAAACCAGATCCGAAATAAAAATTATTTGTCTGCCCGGCCCCAATTTATTTCAATGAAATTAATATTTTTACATGGAACTTAATCGAATTTTTGATAATTCTGCAAACGAATAAAAAAATTTGGCGCCTTATTTCCTACAAAAATTTCGAAGTATATTTATTTTATTTCAAAACTTTAACCCGACCTGAATTCTTTTTAAAATTATTAGGCCCGACCCGGATGTTTTTAAATAGGCCCGTAGTTCGCTTTGTCTAACGGGCCTGGCTTACTTTTGTAAGTAGGAGCCATTGTAGATATTATATTATATATTAAAAAATAAATGTTACACATCTCTTACCCCAAATCAAATATCATCGATGGATAAATATTATTCGATTACTAAAAGATATATAATATTGTAAGATGTGAAGCAGTTCAGTGTGATGCGGTATTTCACTGCAGAGGAATCCTTAAAATTAATTCATCTATAGCACCATTTTTTAAAAAATTTTTTAAAGAATTGATGTTTCCGCAATTATAATCCACCACGTGTATGGGGCCTCTCCACCCGCACCCCCTCCTCCCATAAATTTTAGACATAATATGTTTTTAAAGTTTTGAATTTCGCTTTAGATTTAATTCGATTTTCCCCAGGCAATTTTTATATATTTATTTTAAAAAATCTGTAGCAAAATTGTCTGAAAATTTATTAGGGTATCTATATTCTATGACATGTAGACCGATAATTCATTTCTTAATTAAAAGTAAATTAGAAAAGATTAATTTATATTATGTCTTCCCCCCCCCCCATTTAAAGATGACAAAAGGCATGAAAAAAGTTTATGTCACTCCAATAAATTCGAAACGCTCTTGGAAAATTTCGATATAACCATCAGTAACCGTCGGGGACCAGCCATTCACACAGCAGGGAATGACAATTTCGAGTAAATAAAAATTAACCACATTATAGATTCTATCTAAGTTATAGAATTTGTGAGAATTAATTTAAATTTTAGAAGTATATTAATGATTATGACTACTTTAAAATTGTTTTTTTTGGACCCCTTATCTTTTTTTTTCAAATTTAAATATTATGAATATAAATATAATATGCTTAATATGTTAAACTTTCGAACATATATTTTTTTTTTAATTTTAATAGTGATTATTTTTGATCTAATAAAATTTGGAATATTTATTTTATCTTAATCTCAAATATTTATTTTGGCCTTGTGACTTTTAACCTTTATTTCTGACTTAATTATCGTTTTTTTTAAATGAAATAATATGCGTCACGAAAGTATTCGTTCCTTTCTGAGAGAATGCCAATTAGAAATATGCAAAGCTCGGCCCGTTAAGAAATTTATCACAAGTTCCCCGGCCTATCAATATTTTTGTTCGGCCCATTAAAATTTTTTAAAAAATTATAAGTTTCTATTATATATAAATCCAAGATGTATAAAAAAATCAATTTTTGAAACATGCCATTTTTTTTTGTCTATCGTGGATAAACCGTTCCCCTGTGCTGAAGATCATAGCAATGTTTTATATCGCCGGAAAGCTTGTTTTGCATATTAATAGTTTAAAACAAATTAATTTGAGTTCTTTTGTTTTTGAGATATGTTATTACTTTGCTCTCAACCTCACTACCTTTTGTTTAAACTCATTTTAGTAAAAAATTCTCCATAGTTTTAGAAGTCAGTTATTATAGTCTCTGGAATTTGTGAATATAGTGTTTTATGTAATGATATGACCTATTAATGAAATTATTCGAATCGATTCAACAAGAGTTTAAAATATAAATTAAATATTGTGTCACGAAATGCATAATTGCATTCAGTGTCAAATTCAAAAAATTTGTAAATGCGTTTATTTAAGCCCTCTATTTTTTTTTAAGAATTAATTTAATTTTGAGAATCCCCAAACTAACTATTTATTGTCATTGATAAGAATCCTAAGAAGACTGTGATTCTACGCTTTTGTTTTAACTGTGAGTGTCGCCATGAATAAAATTCTGGAATATATGTTTGAATCGTCAATTATAGTTTAACCATCAGGCTTTTTATCCATCGAGGTCTTATAAATTTATTGTTTGTGAGAGCGCAACTTAATGAATCTTTATCTTATTCCCATTTAATTTGTAGAGCGTCATTTATCTTTTGACGTCTTCCTTATTTTGTTTAGGTAAATGATTATAAGATGTTTGACTATAATATGATTAAAATTGTTAATGAAAAAAATAAGAACTTTTACAAGTTGGACAAAATATAAAATATTATAATTTGTAAATATGTTTCTCTTTGCAATTTTAACAGATTTTGTTTTTCTTTTTTATTTATGAGGGATTCTTACACCTTATTCTGGTATATTTTTTGAATGTATTTCACTAACATCTGTTAATTTCTTCCTAAATCTAGCAAATTGCCTATGTTTTCTTATACTAAACCAGTAGTAACTTATTTTGGGCAATATTCTTGGAGGAATATTTGGACAAAATTTTAATAATATATTATTTGTTATATATTATTGAAAGTGACAAAATATCACCTAATATAAATATATATATAATTTTTATAAGTAAATTAGGGTGGCAAAAGAAAATCAAATTAATATTTAAACATTTATACGCAGAAAAAGGATGGAAATTTACGAGATATGCCTGTCCCATCTGAAAAACGACCACAAATTTTTATTGACGGCCCGCGTGTGTTCCAACATTTTATCACCTGCTGTATACACGCTACCGCACTTGATAGGTCAAAATGATGTGAGGGAAGATAATGCAACATCTAATATAGAAAAACTCGAAATTATGAACAACGTGATTAGGGACGCCTTTTATCTGCTGAGTTGCCCTTCTAACCAACCCTCGATTGGCTATCTATCAGGCGATAATACTTTGAGTTCGTCGAAAAAAGTTTAACATTATCATCGTTACACATATATGAGTTAATTAAAAGTGCGTTACTTTATAAATCTGTTCTGACAAATACTTGAAGATTTTTGGAAAAGTCTTTCGTCTTGGCGAGTGAATTTTATTTCCCGGCCGGTGAAAATAT